TGTCAACATGCATTTGATAATTGCCATAAAATTCAATGGAATAATTCCACAATTTTAACAAAAGAACAATCCACAAAAAAACGTAAAATTAAAGAGTGTTGTTAAAAGTGTTGCTTCATGTTCATTTAATTTAAGTCATACATGGTTACCTATGCTAAAATCTGAAGTAGACCAGAGAAACATACAGCCAAGTTAAATTTACACCAAAATTATTAATTAACATTATCTATATTAATTTAAACAATGAGATTAAGTCAAAGTCACATAACTGACAATTTGCCTAGACGAATTATCAGAGCAAATTTTCATATTCTGTATTATCCTACTATTGTTACACAATTTATTAACACACTCTTTTTTAGGTTCATTTAGGTTCTTTTGATAACGATAGCAGAAAATAGCTATCGAAACGTCAAGGTAATTTTTCAAATTAATTTCTTTACTAATTGGAATTTTCTCTTACAGCTTGAGCCTAAGTGTGTCGCAGGATACCCTCTAGGTGATAGTTCTTGATTACTTTTTGATAAATAATTCGTTCTTATTGCGAAATAGGAGCACTATTTATCAATCTGTAATAAAAGACGTGAGGAAATTCTGTCTTTCCTAAAGACAAACATTTTTGAGGCGAAATACCCAAAAAGAAGTTTGTAAAAAAATGAATCCGCCTCAACAATATAGAACTTATCTAGATTTCCACTGTTAATTTAAACTGTTCTCCTGGGTCTCAGTTATCTATTTCGAATTTGCAGTTAATTATTTTTGAAACGTTTCGGTGTTGTTCCACCATCCTCAGTTGACCCAGGCGAACAGTTTAAATTAATCGCTTTTTAAGTTCATTGGAAATAGGCCTAGTCTTACCCCAGGTTTTAGCCTCCTTGATCCTCCAAACGGAGGTGGCCACCAAAAAAAACGCGCCGACGGCCACCATAACGACCAAAGAGAAGGCAAATAAATCCCCCAGCACCAGAGCAGTTAGAAGCAGCAGATAAGTGGCCAGAATTACGTAAACGGCGCTATACGCGGTGCCCAGTCCAGACACAATCGGCACGTCGTCGCGCCTGCTTTCTTCTTTTGCGCCCGACAAAAAACTTGCCCTTAGCATGGCAAATAGACCGGTAATAGAGGCGAGGTTCTCTGAAGACGCTGCCGAAATCACATGCACACATATGGGCCGTATTATTGCAACAATCAGCGAAAACCCACAGAGCCCGTACACGGACCAAGCCAGGTAGTTGCTGGTTCTTGCTATGGATTTGGTGTTGCCGGCCAACCGCTGCATAACCCAATAGCCCGCAATGCAGACAACAATCACCGAAGGCAGCAGCTTGTTGAGGATTTCCGTGATGGAAAAACCGCTGAGATTGCCGCACTTTCGCAGCCAAATTTTCACTAAAATCGCGAGCAGCGATAGGGACACCACACTAACACCCCACTGGGTTTTGGACGCCTGGGACTTGATTCTGCTGACTTCTTCATGGGGCGACCGAAAGCACCATTCCTGCTCAGTTCGGCAACGCCAGAAGTGAACGGAAAATCGCAACAGGAACAGCACTGAACACGCGATTATCGCCAATTTCACCCAGTTCTTCCCGTAATCACTTCGCACCAAGAGCAGCAGGCTCAAAATCAGCACAGTAACCAGTAGGAAAAGCAGGGCGCTGGCTTCTTCGAGCACGTAGCTATTGGAAAACACTCCGGCAATGTTGCAAACCAACACCAAGCGGCAGATGACATGCATAACGCCGTTTGCCTGGTTCTTCTGGTACCAGTTGAAGCTGATCAGGGTCCAGTTCTGGAAAACGGGCAGCAGGAACATCAAGTGCGAGAGCACGTTGGTGAGAAACAGGCAGGTGTACAGGGAGCTATCAACCAAGTCGGAAAAATCCAAAGCTGCAACGGCTGTGACTGAGAAAAGAAGTCCGATCACGCAAACGACCACGAAGGAGCCTTCGATGGCCGCAGGCAGATGCCGTAGCGGGATTCCATCGCTGATGATGAACATAAAAAATACAGTCAGAAACAGGAACGTCAGCCCATTGCTGATCGAATAGGCGTCGAATTGCACCCAAACTTCTTCGCATAAAGTGCGCAGCTTGACGAGCAAAGAGCCAACTGTTTCCGATAACTTTGCAAACTCCTGGTCTGAAGTAACCGAGTCCAATTTGGCCTGCAGCGACTCAATTTCGCTGTAATACAGCTCTAGATAGTGTTCGTCGAAGATCTTGGAGTTTTCCGAATACGTTTGCATGTAGCTGACCATTTGCCGGGCGTTGTGCCAGAGCCAGAACAATGGCAGTTTCCACCTCAATTTATCGGTGTTTTGAGGCTCTGGCAATGCGTTGTGAATCAAAACTCCCAAATTTTGGAACGGAACCGGCACGCCCAGGATGGCTGAGAGTGTAGGAACGAGATCCACTTGTTTCACGCTGGATTTATGTTCGCCGATGGATAGGAGTGTTTGTTTGGAATACACGAACATCGCTGATGAGACTTCGTCCTCAGTTGCCCCGCCATGGTCACCTAAACACACTCACATTAATTTTTTTCTTGTGAATAGCCCTATTAGAACCTGCCTGTTATTGTCATTCCATGATCACCGATGACGAACAGGATGGTTTCATTGTCCATCACTTTAATCACATCTCTGAAAATTGCAGCTTTACAAGTAACTAATTTGGGGAAATTAAGCAGCGCTTACTCAATCACACCATTGATTTCGGTTAGTTTTCTGACCATTTCCGGATGGTTCGGACCGTGTCGATGCCCGCAATGATCCACACCTAAGAAGTGCCCAATCAGCATCTTCCAGTCGCGCTTTTCCAGCTCAGGGAACAAATTGGCCCGCACTCCGTTGTCCACAGTGTCCAAATCCCACACATCAAACGAGGGATATGGGAAGTTGCGGATAAAACGGTTTGGATAGAGAGACGTCCATGTATCGTCACCCATAAAAACAATGTTTTCTTTCGTCTTCAAGACCTACAAAAGTTTGCACTGTTTAGGTAGATTTTTCTGGTGTTTTGGAAACATTGGATCAAGCGCGGGTCATTCTGTTGCGCACTTAAAAAGCATGTTAATTTCACTTAAAATACTCGCAATAAATCCTTGCTAATGGCAGCTACTCCAAACTTGTATTATTAATTAAACAACCCTTTTCCTATGGTTCCTAACTTTTCGGAGAAATAGTCTTGGCCATTTCAGCACTTAAAAAAAACCCAATCATTGATGAAGCAATCCTAGTTCCACTCAAGGAAGATTAGATAACAATTTCAAATGGACTTTGGAGGGTATTCCCGGAAACTGGCGAGTTCTTCGGGTTTTCAAGCCGCAGTGAATTAGAATTTCAGGTGGTTTGCTCGGAAGCTTGCCCTGTACACTATAAAAACTAAAAACCTGAAAGACTCATCAGTTTCCAGTGGATTGCTCCGTAACTTCCCAACACACGGTCTATTCTGGAACCTTGTCGATTATCCATATACTATACCTGATCAATGATATTATCCTCGGTGATTTGCGAGCTGGCAAAGTTCGAGCCCGCGTCTATAAAAGTGGGCAAACTGCCTGTTGTTAAGGCCTTTATCCGCTGCATTGTTGTGGTTGGGGGATCGGCTATAAACTTGTACAGTCTGGATGAGGCTGGAAACTTGTCCAGGGTGCGTTTGATCGCCGGAAGTCGGTTTTCGTATGGAAGCGGCTTGAGATTATCTTCGTTAAACACTGCGAAATCATAGCGCAGGGCGTCTACTATCAGAAGAATCACTTTGGTGTCACTAGGGATACAAAGGCTGTTGGCCTTGCTGTACAGCTTTTCGCGCCAGTTGGCATCGAAGGGGCAACTGGCTGAATTTTTGTAGTTTGCCGCGAAGCAGGCAGTCAGTTCATCTAACTCTAGAGAGTCACATGTGGCGTTTTGATTCTGCACCTCCTTGGACAGCAGAAACCCTTTCTTGAACAGCAGGATTGAGGACACGATTAGATAGGCGAACCATAGCAGGGTCAGAAAGTATTTGAGCTTTTTCCTCATGGTGAGGGGCTGGACGCTTTGACTATATCATATTAATATGAAAACTACTCTTGAAAGATGGTGTTTACCATAGATAATGACGAGTACTTGCGGTACTTGAGGTGTTTACTTGCCAAATTGAGTGAGGTTATGCAACTCCCGGAAAATGGGTCACAGCTGTCGACTGTCAGAATGAGGCATGATTGCCAAATGACTGGGCGGGACTTGATGGGGTAACTCCCACTGTTTAAATGGCTGTTATTTAATTACCAGACCCTTCGGGCTGCTGGGGCTTATAGCAAAAAATGGCAAAAAATCTGCTTATTTTATCCAGTAATTCCGCAGGCGTTTTATGGACAAATCAGTGTTCGTTGCCAGATTTAACGTAAATAAACATTGTTGCTGCTCTGTTGCTAAACTATCGATTTTTGTTTCCATTGGTGGGTTCCCAATGTTGCCAATACGCATAACGATTTGTTAAAGTGATTGATAAGATGGCTACGTTACCATCTCCAACGCAGGTAAGTTAAAAAATACCAATTTTTAACCATTAAATGGGCCTCTAAATCCATTTCCTGATCAGCAAAGCTTCGTCCAATATTCCCGGAGACAAATTCATCAAAATCTTGTTACTGCGGTGCGAGAACAACCCAAAAACACCTGACATTTCGGTGGGCGGTCGCGATTTCAAATCATTTTTGTCGATACATTTCGCTCTCAACGCTCTATTTTTGCCTGGATCAAGCGACTGGAACTGGATTTGGGTCCCCTAAATGGGGCTTGTGGTTTAGCGGGCGTTGTGGACCCCTTTTCAAGACTGTGCACTTTGCCCTAGTTGTTTAGCTTGGAAGGTTTTGCAAAGGGGTTCATTTTTTGGCATTAACTCCATGTTCGGGGGGTTTGCTGAGTTTTCTGTCCTGGAGTTGTTTCAATGGAAGCCACTGCTTTTTGTATATGTAGGGATTTAATGTTTCACTGACCCAGTTGGGCTTGTAGTGGTCTGTTGATGTTTTGGGGCGCCACTTTGTAGTGCAATCTTTAAATGGGTTTCATTGGCGTCTATACCCCGATATTGAACCCCCGTAAACATATGTATGGTTGATAACTTCGTGAGATGGATGTCTGTAACAATAGGGGTTCTAGGAGGCAAGAATTCAACCAGACCCTTTTCCAAAAGACACATAATTTATAAGGATACTGTTGTTGTTGTTTAGTATTTTTCCTGGGATTGATTCTAGGAACCCCTGAAAAAGGCTGAAACATTCTTCGTTGAAACGCTTTAATGGTAATAACCAAGCAGTGTTTTTATTGCCCATTTGCCAAGTCCTGATGGACCAGAATGTGCTCTAAAATTTGATCCCAACTTTACACAGGGTTAGTGTACAGAGAGAATTGTGCTGATGATGATCTGATAGATCAAGCAGACGTTGAAAAATGGGCAAGAAATTATGATAAGAAAATTTTGGATATTTTATCATTTATTTTTGGATATTTAGATTTTGAATATTTTTTATTGGACCTCACGAGCGAAGCGACAAAACACGACAGACATATTTTCTATCGGTGTTTTGACAAACATCAAAGGAATTTGCGGCGGATCCGATTCGGCTCGTTAGTCCTGGACGCACCATAAGAATCCCTTTTAAAGAGCATTTTCGAGCAAATAATTGGTGCAAATAGAATGCAGGACACCGTCAAGTGTCCCAGATCAAGTTTTTGTGCCCATTTTTTTTAAGCTCAGTGGTCTATTATTGTTCAATCCAGCTATTCTGTGACTTCATGTATGTGAAAATTATCTCCAAGTTAGTCTAAGTCAAGTTCAGCCTCTCGGCGCCTTTCATTTAGCCAATTTGCTTTGCCACCCTGAAACGCCACTCCAACAAGTGATAAAATGCTGTCGCTGAAAACATGAAGAAGAACTCTTAACAATTTGATTGAAGGAAACAGCTTGGAGGCAATAACGTGTCCAGTCTTCTAACAATTCGATTATTTGAAATTGCAATTTGCACATTCGAATTGGATGTAAAGCGTTTTTTATTTATTTTATTATGCTGCATTTGCAAGTTTTGCAGACTTGCTTTTTCCAACTTTGTGCATTAACCATTAATTACTAATAATTAATGTCCGTATTTCCAGGTGGCTGGAGACCACAGTGCTATTTATGAAGCGTGCTTCAATTTGGTAAGTGAAATCAGTGGAAGTCTTCCCATTAGCCATGCTGTGTCTTCTCTAGGTTGATCCCAGCGGCGTGGGATCTGTAGGAGGCATGGATGCCGCCAGATTCCTAAAACGATCCGGTTTGAGCGATGTGGTTCTTTCGCGCATTTGGGACATTTCCGATCCCGGAGGCAGAGGCACTTTGGATAAGGCTGGCATGTTTGTGGCTCTAAAGCTGGTCGCTCTCGTTCAAAGCGGATGGGACTTGAGCATCGACCATGTTCTTGAAGATGTGCCCGCACCGAAAATGGTAAGAACATCATTTTTCCAATCTTCTACTGTTTACTTTGCTCATAAACCAAAGGTAATTAAGTCATGCGTAACGTTCCGAAATTTAATTGCTTTATGACATAATTTAGACGTGAAAACATGCGGAAATCAGCAAATACGTTAAGCTCTTTGTACTCGCGATAATAAAATGTATATCTTTACATCTTTACTGTATGCATTTTGGAGATTTTGCCCAAAGATTTTGCTCAAAGCCTTGCTTGGCTTCAATGAAAATGGGCAATAGATTGGTTTCGTGCACGATGAAGCCAGTGGAGGTCAGCAATGGGGTTAATTTCCCAAGCACCTTTAAGTAAATTTTTCCTTGGTTTTCAGGGCGATATACCTATGCCTAAGACTAAACCTCTCCCGCCTTCCACTACACCACTGATCACATCACTTCCACCATCGGCAGTGGATTGGACGGTCAAACCTCACGAGATGGACAAGTACTTGAATTTGTTCGAATCCCTCAAACCATCCGGGGGACTGTTACCGGGCAATAAAGTAAAACATCCAGTTGCCGGAAGTTTCAATTTGGTAATCGATTTTGTTTCTGGCAGGTTAAAGATGTTCTGCTGGAATCCAAACTACCCTTTGATACTCTAGGAAAAATATGGGACCTGGCCGATCAGGACAAGGACGGCAAGCTGAATAAGCACGAATTCGTTGTGGTAAGTTGCTGCTGTTTAACCCCAGATTATCCATAATTGCCATAATCTTCTGATTGTTCCAGGCGATGCATTTGGTATATAAAGCGTTGGAAAAGTACGCGATTCCCAATAAGTTGCCCACTGAACTGGCCGCATTAAAGATATCACAACCCTATGGAATGGCGCCAATTATTCCATTAAATCGACTGATGAACATCGTCAATCCCGAGGTTCCTCAAGCCGTGAGTTCGATTTTTATTTTTACGTTCAGAATACAGGGTGTTACAATTTTCTAGTATTGATCTTTCTAAATAATAAAGCGCGAAAATTAGGTATATTGATACTACTACTAAACTTGATTTATAAAAATTCACATTGTTTTTAAACCGGGCATTTTCATAACTTCTCTATGTTTCACAGGGCGATTCCTCAGGTATTTTAAAGATATAAAGTCGATATTTTATGGGTCCCGAAGAGTTTAAATATCGAACAACAGGATGTTAAAAATTTACTCTAATTGTTTTAACTCACAATATCTCCAAAACGGTTGTTTGCAGCGAAGAGTAGAGGAATTGATTTTCTTGCTCAAAAAAGTGATACGAGCATGCACGAAAAAAGTTATGACTCGTTTAAAGGGAAACAGTGAATTAGGGAGCTACGAAGCCCCCAAATTCCAAGCTTCGTAGAAATGTCGATATTATTTAAAAAATGACTTAGAAAAAACAGAAATTAGCGCGATAAGTGAGCCGTTTAAAACCCATGCGTTTATGGACTTTTTTTAAAAGACCTGAGGAATCGCCGTGTGAAATATCAGACACACCCGGAATAAATGAGCTTTTGGGCGTTTTTGTCGATTTTTGAGATTTATCTTCTATCACCAGAACATTTTTCATGTATATTTTTGCTAAATCATCGATAATCTGGATGCAAAAAGGGAAGAACTTGATTTTTTTCTTTAGAAATCCTTCCAATATTATTTATATTTTGTTTTTTAACTTACTAGACTAAATTTCCACCACGAAAACCTTTTTGAACCAAAAATGATATTGCGGTTCTTCTCAACAGTTAATTAAAACCTTTTCATTTTTCCTGAGCTCCTTTTCTAAGCAACAAAAGTTTCTATAGCGTTTGTGCCCTATCCCAGAAAATTTATGCGTTATCACTTTAAAAGTGCATTTAAGTATTGAAAATTCAAGTAGAAGATGGAAGCAAATCGTGCTAATTTTATTCGCTTTCACAAATCCTCGCGTTTTCGATTCGCCACGTATGCAGTCCAGATCTGTATGAAAGTCGTCTTATGTCTGTATGTTGTTCGTCGCCTGTAATAACAGGAATTCGTATTCCTTTTTCGAAATGTTTGAAGCGAATGAAGGTGTTTTTAACACATTTATTCATATTTTTTGTCTTTCTGCAATTAATAAAATGCGCTACTAAAAACGCAAAAAATCTCTTATTTCAGGCTTATGCTAAATTGTATTTATTGAGCAATATTTCTGAAGTAGTTGGAATTTCTCGACGGTTAAACACAATTTTGTTCAGCATGAAAATGCGCAATTAATTTCACAATTTAAACGATTTTGTACGACTCACGAGATTCTATTCCTAACAGAAAAATATATTTTTGTTATATTAGAAAACAGTTCTTTCAGTCGCCCTTTAATTATTTTAAAATATCTCTCCAAATAAGCTCAGAAAAAACTAAAAAAATCGAGGAATATTGGGGGTTTTCCGAATATTTCTGGAAGTAGTTGGGAATTTTTCGATTGTTAAAACACCAATTTTGTTCAGCTTGAAAATGCAGCATTAATTCCACAATTTAACCGAATAAATCTCGCATTTACAGACTCAACCCATCAAGCCAGCTCAATCGGCACCCCCATCCGCTCTATGGGTGGTAACGGCGGAAGAAAAGGCAAAATCCGATGAACTGTTCACCAAAAGCGATGTGGATAAGGACGGGTTTGTGTCCGGAGCTGAAATTAAGGATGTCTTTTTGCGTAGCGGAGTGGCCCAGCCAATGCTAGCCCACATTTGGTAAGTCGCCTACCTCCCGGTGTCAATAGCCTGGCATTATACGGGGTGTTTTAGGGCATTATGCGATATCAACCAAACCGGGAAGTTGAACAATGAGCAGTTTGCCTTGGCCATGTGGTTCGTGGCCAGATGCCTGAAGGGTTCCGATCCTCCACCGGCATTAACTCCGGAAATGATTCCACCGAGTTTCCGATCGACGAAACCTGCCGAGGGGCTTGTGGTAAGCCCATAGAAATTATTCTATAATTATTAAAACGACTCAAAATTTGGCGAATTAAGTTCAATCCATTTATTCGATCATTTAGTCATATAATTACGGGATTCTTTTGGGCCGGTTCTTCACAACAAGCGTGTCCAGTCTGGTTTTAGATAACTCTCTGTTGGCTATCACTTTGACGAAAACATAGAGAAATGTTCCCATGATTAGAACAACTCCTAAGAGCATTAGCGTATGGTTGAAGTTGAATTCATAGCGCTTTTCTACTACCAAGCGAATGGTCCCGGCTAACTCTTGCAGTTGCCAACAGCTAGAAAACAGTTGCTTAATCGAGAAACGCTTCGCATTAAATGTAGCCATAGTTTGGAGGAATTCCATTTTACTGGGTTAATGCGTGTTGAACTACACTTTTGAATTAATGTAACGACGGTTATCACGACTGTAAAATACCTGTAGATGTTTGAATCGGAAATTTTCGCCTTTTTGATATGAACGCGATCGGTGATGCTGATGTAGACTCGTCCATTCGATTCTTTCGCTATTTTCTCCGGGATGAGGTTTTTGTCGCCGATTTGCCACAGGATTGGAGCGTCGCTGTTGATGTTCCTGATTTTTTTCGGGGATTAATTGGTTAATTGGTCATAATCAATGGAAATTCCTACCCAGGACATTCGAGGACAAGATCCTTTCCTTTGGCCTCATATTGTAGGCGGCGCTCTGTTGACGGCTCCATGGGGGGCAGTTTTTGCGACAGCGAGTAAATCCCCTCTGAATTGTCCGCTCTCTCGATAACTTTGCCTTCTTTGTCTCTCACTTCAAACACCAGATTTTCCGGGCACTTTACCTGATTTTTCATAAAACCGTAACTTGGGATCTTATGATTGTTTAGTAGAACTAACATGGCAGAATCCGGTCATTATTTCGTTTCGTCTAGCTTGAACTGCCGGCAGTCGGCGAACCTCTGGAGGGAGAATGTGACTTTGGCATGGAATACCATACTTGAATATCTGGAAAATTTCCTCCAATTCTTCGGCTGATCTTTTGGTGCGGTTCTAGAGCGTAATTTGATTCGGTTAAATGCATGGTCGGCAGGAAGACACGCAGCTGAAGGTGCTTACGTTGCTTTCGAGCGCTTTTCGGTACACATTGCAGTAGCCCATTTTGTGTTTCCTGCCCACATTGCCGCATGTGCTGCAGGTAGACCATTCGCCCCATTCAGTGTCCAGGACTAGATTAAAGGCAATTTCTTCCGGTTTTTTGGAGTAAGGCCCTGAAGGGTCTGCTGGACTATGGACCTAAATGTACAGCCTGATTCAATTTTAAGCCCGGGAATGTAACACAAACATAAGTAGAAAAGTTCTTATAAACACATGATAGCAATGAAATTCAGGGTGGTTTTTTCATGTTTTACCTTTAATTTGATTTCGAGTGCAAGTTACATTTTGGGGTCTACATGGCTCCATGAGTGAAACAGTTGAAAGAATGTACAAGGTAATTTTTTGGGGTCTTGTCCCCTTTTACCCCCCGAACTTTAACGTGGTGCACCACTGGTGTCTAACGACGGGTTTTTAAATTCTTGGTTCAATTTGGAAACGTTCTTGTTCCTTGCGTTCTCATCGTGTCTGCCACCGTTTTCGCGTTTCGTTTCGCTAACGTTTGTGCACTTAACAAAAATTAATAGTCAGTAGTCTGACTAGAACCAAATTCACAACAATTGTGAACTGAAGGTTCCTTTATCTATTGCTGAAGTCGCCGTTCCAATATCTCTCCCAAATAGTGAGAAATGGACATTTGAGGATAAAAGTGCAAAAGTGACAAAAACACACAAGTTTTGTGAAACTGCAAATTAATTTAGATGCAACCGTTTGTCTGAATGGAACCAAATTCACAACAATTCTGAACTGAAGGTTTCTTTATCCATTGCTGAAGTCGCAGTTTTAATATATTTTCAAATAATGAGAAATGGAGAGTTGAGGATAAATGTGCAAAAGAGGCAAAACACACAATTTTTGTGAAACTTTGCAAATTAATATAAAGGCAGTCGTTGGTTTGAATGGAACCAAATTCACAACAATTCTGAACTAAAGGTTCCTGTATCCATTGCTGAAGTGGCCGTCCCAATATATCACCCAAATAGTGAGAAATGGACAATTGTGGATAAAAGTGCAAAAGATGCAAAAACATTCAAATCTTGTGAAACTTTGCAAATTAATGTAAATGCAGTCGTTAGGCTGGAACCAAATTCACAACAGTTCTGAACTAAAGGTTCCTTTATGGCTGAGGTCGCCGTTCCAAGGTCTCTCCCAAATAGTGAGAAACGGACATTTGAGCATGAAAGTGCAAAAGGGGCAAAAACACACAAATCTTGTGAAACTCTACAAATTAATATAAATCTAGTAGTTCGTCTGAATGAAACCAATTTCACAATAGTTCTCAACTGAAGGTTCCTTTATCTATTGCTGAAGTCGACGCTCTAATAGCTCTAGCAAATAGTGAGAAATGGACATTTGAGGATAAAAGAGGCAAAATCACACAAATCTTGTGAAGCTTTGCAAATTAATATAAATCTAGTAGTTGGTCTGAATGGAACCAAATTCACAATAATTCTCAACTGAAGGTTCCTTTATCTATTGTTGAAGTCCGCGCTCTAATAGTTCTTCCAAATAGTGAGAAATGGACATTTGAGGATACAAGTGCAAAAGAGGCAAAACACACAAATCTTGTAAAACTTTGCAAATTAATATTAATGCAGTCGTTGGTCTGAATGGAACCAAATTCACAATAATTCTCAACTGAAGGTTTCTTTATCTATTGTTGAAGTAGCCGTTCCAATATCTCTCCCAAATAGTGAGAAATGGAGATTTGAGGATAAATGCGCAAAAACACACAATCTGGCGAAACTTTACAAATTAAAATAATGAAATCGTTAGCCTGAATGGAGCCGAAACTACACCAAATCTGAACAGGAGGTTTTTTTTTATCTACTGCTGAAGTTTCAGTCCCAATCTTTCTCGTAAATAGTCAGAAATGAGCACTAGCTCAAACGCATGCGAACATAGATTTACATGAACTTTTTACTTATTTAATCGCTGTATCTCTAAATATCTGCGTTCGCCCCTCTAAATGTGCATTCCCTATAAAGAATCCACTCACTTGGTGCATACTCGTCTCGGAAATATTGACCACAGTGAGAAAATAAGGCGCCACCACCGCATTGCCCAGCTTGCACATATACTGGCCGCTATTTTCGCTCTTCAGATTGAAAATCTGCAATGTTCTGTCCTCGGGTGATAAAAGCGTGTGTTCGGTAAACTCAACAGGAGACATCGCCTCATCCTGTTGCCTCGCGAACTCCCAAGTTATCGCGTCTTTATTCTGGCTTTCCAAAGGACTCAGACATAGTTTGCAGGTCAGACTGCAACAGTTTTCCAGGCATTGAAATGTATGCGTATGTTTACTCGTACCTGATCGAAGAGGTTTCAAAGCCTATTATCGCTTCAGGAGTCACGGAATTTTGGCTATTCAGGTTGTTAGCTTGGGAGTTTAGGCACTGATAATACTCCTCCCATTTGGCTCTGTTTTCCTCCCGAAACTGGGCATTTGCCCCGGGGTATTCGCTCTGTTCATGGCCCCAGAAGTTCAAAGTGGGACCTGCTGTTTTGCAGAGAGTAAATTGAAATAAATCCAGATTTGGAATTTTTGCCTTTTCCACGTTTGCTCTTGTACGCTGCTTTGGCTTTGTTCTTTAATTTGTCGATTTGACTGCTGAAAAAACCGGCCTCGGTTTGCAGCAGGCAAAAGCAGATGCAAATACACAGTGTCCTTTTCATCTTGAATGAATATATCAGTGTCAGATAGTCACTGTCCTATCAAAACCGGACTTTTGTCGCAGCATTTTATGAAACAATTGTGGATCAAATTTCGTTAAAAACCTGCCCGGATCTTTGTAGGAGAACAATAACACCAGATACTCAAATCCCGAATTGGACATGATTAGCAAGGACATCGAGGAACTATGCAGAGAGAGACTGGCTCTGGAAACTGACATTGCACAAAAGGAGGCAGACATTAAAATAAAAATAGGAGAAATAAAAAACCTACAGGTAAGTCCCAACGGTTAAACACATTTATGATTAAAACAGCAGTTTTGTGGTTGTTTTTAGAGTGAACTGGACACGCTGGCCGCCACTCTTAAGCAGCTGGAAAACCAAAGAGGCGAAGCGCAAAAGCGCCTAAACGACCTGAAAGCGCAGGTAAGTCCCGCTTTTAACCGCCCTCACTTTGCTTGGTTTGCTTGTCAATTCCCCCAAGTGCTTTGGTTGGGTTGAGGTATTTTTTAGTGCATTGGTTTGTTTTTTTTTTCATGGTAGACAGGCACGGTATGCATTGATTCTGCCACATTTTCCACAGAACTCGGCCTGGATGATGATAAGGTAGGCCTCATTTGTTGATTGTAGGCTTTGGCTTGATTTCGTATGCTTTATATAGCTTTGCCTCATGTTCCCTTCTCGTTTGCGCATATCATCGGTTATCGACTCGAATTGCTGAAAAAGTCTGTTTGTGTCCTAGGTGGATAAATTAAGGACACAGGCAAATGAGCAGGCGGAATTGGTGGCCACTCAGGAGGCCGACTTAAAGAGCAAGAAGGAGCAACTGGATGGTCTTCGACAGGAGGAGCAACAGTTGGAGGAGCAGAAAAAAGAGAGCTTGAAAAAGCTGGAATCGATTACGACGAATTTACAGGAAACGCAGTTCAGTATAAGCCAGGTAAGTTTTTAACTGGGATCGGTTTTTTGAGTCGCCCAAAATTCTATTCAGATTAGCAATGGCAGCAAATATCGGCTATGTCTGAACTTAGGCCTGTGAACGTCCTTTAGGTAGCAACAGAAAATCCTAACGTCTAAACAGATAGGAGCAAAAACGTCTAACTTCAACCCTCGATTTTAAAAACAGCTTTTAACTGAGAAACGCTTCGAAAAACGTTTATGGAAAGCGAACTTTTATGAATTGAATTTTTTAAAGAAGTTAAGTCATCCCAATCAGCTCATCAAAGCGCCAATGTTTCAAAAATTGCTTGAAAACATAAAGTTCAACTGACATTTGAACGGAAATTTGTAAAACGTCGTTAAAGCTGACAGTTTTTATGTAAAAAAGTTAAGGCAAAAGCTCATCAAAGCGCCAATGTGTCAAACATTGCTTGAAAACATCAAGTTCAACTGACATTTGAACGACAATTTGTAAAACGTGAATAAAGTTGACCGTTTTTATGTAACAAGTTAAGTCAAACGCTCCTCAAAGCGCCAACGTTTCAAAAATTGCTTGGAAATGTCAAGTTCAACTGACATTTGAACTGAAATTAGTAAAACGTCGTTGAAGTTGATAGTTTTTATGTAAACAAGTTAAGTCAAAAGCTCATCAAAGTCCCAATATTTCAAAAACTGCTTGAAAACATCAAGTTCACGTGACATTTTAACGGAAAATTGTAAAACAGCATTACAGTTGCCAGTTTTTATGTAAAAAAAGTTAAATCAAAAGCTCGTCAAAGTGCCAATGTTTCAAAAATTGGTTAAAAATATGAAGTTCAACTGACATTTGAACGGATATTTGTAAAAAGTCGCTAAAGTTGACAGTTTTTTATGTAAAAAAGTTAAATCTAAAGCCCATCAAAGCGCCAATCTTTCAAAAAATGCTTGAAAATATCAAGTTCAACTGACATTTGAGCGGACATTTGAAAACGCTTCATTTGAAAACCGTTAAAGTTGACACTTCTTGTGTAAAAAAAGTTAAGTGAAMAGCTCCGCAAACCGCCAATGTTTCAAAAATTGCTTGAAAACATCAAGTTCAACTGACATTTGATCGGAATTTTGTGAAACGTCGTTAAAGTTGACAGTTTTTATCTAAAAGTTAAATCGAAAGCCCATCAAAGCGTCAATCTTTCAAAAAATGCTTGAAAATATCAAGTTCAACTGACATTTGAGCGGACATTTGAAAACGCTTCATTTGAAAACCGTTAAAGTTGACACTTCTTGTGTAAAAAAAGTTAAGTGAAAAGCTCCGCAAACCGCCAATGTTTCAAAAATTGCTTGAAAACATCAAGTTCAACTGACATTTGATCGGAATTTTGTGAAACGTCGTTAAAGTTGAAAGTTTTTATCTAAAAGTTAAGTCGAAAGCCCATCAAAGCGCAAATGTTTCAAAAATTGCTTGAAAATATTAAGTTCAATTATTCAAACTTCAAAATATCAATTTCCACAGACATTTGAAGCGAATCTTGACGTAAAACTTCTTACTTGATGTAAAACCGTTAGAATTGACAGCTTTAACGTACAAAAGTTGGGTTGAAAGCTCATCAAACGTCAATACGTATAAAGTTGCGGCAAAACATCAAGTTCACCTGATATTTAAGTAAACTTGATCAAATGTTAAACTTGACAGTTTTAATGTTGAAAAGAAGAAAAAAGTTTATGAAAGCGTCAATATGTACGAAATTGCTGGAAAATGACAGGTTTACTGGGGTCTGCACAATTTTTTATACGGTTAAATATTGTCAAGCGCAAGGCAAAAAGGGGATACAATTAGCTGGCAGACTTTTCCAGATTATATGAGTCAAAAATCACCCTAAAGCCGGACTATGGCCTCCAAGTAAACTACAGTTTTAAGTACGTTATCGATCTTTGTTATCCAATTCCTGAAAATCCAAAAGAACGTCATGGGCTTACCACAATCCTAATCATTGCTGATGAAATACGAAAATGTTGTTGTTTCTAATATGTTTTAAGCTACAAAGTCATGCGTGACTTAAATCAAAGCTCTACTCAAAAGTCGTGTTGCAATTTAGAGGAATCGACCGCATCTAATAATGTTGTTTCAGTTGAAGGCCCTGTCCACTCAGCTCCAAGAGCAAACGAGACAGATAACGGATGCCATAGATGTTTGCGAAACCGCCATTCAATCGGGAGATGCTGCCCAGGTTCCGGAGCAGGTTTTGCGAATTACCATCGACTTCAGAGACGCCGAATACGCGAAACTGGGCTTAACAAACGGCGAATGCAAACAGGTCAGTTTTGCCCGCATAATTTAACGATCGAGTCTGGAACAGTTATTTTGTTTAGAACGGACAAGGGAGTGATCCGTTTAGTCGGCACAACGATTCCAATGGGTTCGATGACAATATGTTTGAAAATGGTAAGTGAGCAGGCGTTTGTTTATTAACTGATTCAATGCGACGAGCTACGTGATTATCAGCGTATGTTTTTTTTATTTAAAAAAGACTGGCACGAAACTGGTGGAAATAAATTCAGGACTTTTAAATATTCTTTCTGATGTCTTTTTACAACAATTCAACATGTTTTTCGCAAGTTTATTGATTTACCATCAGAATTTTTTACCGTTTTGAAAACTGCGTCTTTTATCATTTTGTAGGTACAAAATCTTCTTGTTTCATTTCATTTGCAATGAAGTCCATTAGCTGTCCGACACTTTTTAATAATCTTGTAAATCTTGAGGAACGAAAGCGAAATAATCTGAATTACGTGATACTTCTCTTGATCTCGGTTTAGTGAATTCCTAGCTGATTCTGCTTTTTTGCAGACCCATTCAAGAACAAAAACGCCACCGAGACTGAAGACCCGTTTAGAGCCGCCTTTTCCAAGCCCGTTAATGTAAGCCTTCCACAAACTGGTTGCCAGTTAATGATTGATTGCTGGTTTTAGGATGGATTTAACGCCGATCCATTTGGGGCTCCTTTCAGCAACGCGACCGATCCGTTCAACGATTTCGACAATGCGAACATTCAAACTCCCGGCGTGCAAGCGGAGGTAAAGTTCTGAAAGTTTGCTCCGCATGCATGAGTTAGTTTGCGATGTGTTTTTAGCCCGAAAAAGATCCCTTCGGTTGCGACCCCTTTGCGGTCCTGCATGCCCCAACGAGGGAGAGTTTGAGCACTGGACCGCCCCCGCCGCGTCCCTCCAGCCCCAGTCCAGCGCTGCCCCCTAAAAAAAGTAAGCAGCCGCCGCCTCGTCCTGCCCCGCCTCGACCCACCCAGCCGCCTGCAATCAAGAAGTCGCAGGATTCGTTTGGCAGTGAACCGTTTGATGCTGGCTTTGCTAGTGGAACTGGATTTGCCGACTTTTCAAACTTCGAAGCCAAGGTAATGGGGTCTGTTTAAGTGGGAAGCAAGTTCAAAAAAGAGTGTTCTTGTAAAAAATAGCCTATCGGTAAGCTTGATGGTTCTAGTGCTTGCATCGCAGTGTCCTTGTAGATCTCCTGTTGCCTTCGGCGTCTCCCTTGTCCCATTCCTGTTCCCATTCCAGGTTTTCTTTTCACGTTTGGAGCGAGCGCTTGGTATGTATTTGGCCTTAGAGAGGATTCTTTTTGATTTAAGGCCCCTAGAAATGTGTCTACAGCGTGTTTAGAAGAGCATACTTTTTTGGTTCGGACCTTTTTGCGAAAATAATCAGTATTCTAAATTTCTCTAAAAAATCCCATGGTTTTGAACCAGGCAAATTTGGTAAAAATATCTGATTAACGACTAAAATTAGACGCTTTTATGGGCTATTTTGGAAACAGTGGCAACTACCCGGGAACCGTTATGGGCGTTATGAGTTCGATTACAAAAAAAGGTTATGGAGACTTTTTTAAGAGAGAATTTTTTAAGCAATTTTAAGAAAGCACAAGCATTATCCGTAGCGGATTTATGTAAATCAATGATTAAATTCTGTAGACTACGAGAAAAGAATGGATTTTTGTGTTTGGAAAAATGCGAGAAAATGACAAATTTTGAAAATTGCAATTGCAGAAAATTGGGCGAATTGAAACTATAATTTTTATTCCAATAGAGCAAGTAGCGGACTGAAAATTTGAAAAATTGAAACGAAACATTGTGCTTTGTACCCTGAAAGTTTTAGCTCTTTCTTGCGAAAATAATCGAGTTTTGAGTTTTAAACCAGGCAAAATTGCAAAAAATTTCTCATTAGCACTCATTAATAACGGACATTGGTCGGCTTGATGGAATATTTCGGAAAATAATATAATAATATAAAAAAATATTATGGCGCTTTATAATTTTTGCTTTGCTAATTTTTTGTTATTAAATGCAAGGGCGAAACTGGAAACTTGTGCGTTTGATTAGAATCTGGAAAACGGGTGGAATAAGCAACAGCGGCTTACCATGAAAGAGCCCAAAACAGCGCCAACCGCATATAATTTTTTCAGAAGCCAGAGATTTAAAGGAATTTAGATTATTGGTAAAGTGGAGATGCAAAAAATACGTATACAAACCCAACGTTATCGGAAATCTTACACATACACGTATCCACTTCTTCGCGGAAAATTGAAGAAACTGTGGGTATTGCAGGAATTTTTTTAAAATAAGTAATCATCGTACGGTCCATACCGGGTTTTTCTAAGTCAATTTTTATATCCTGGAGGCTGCGATAGAATAATTACTTTCTGGAGATGGTATTGGGCAAACTGCGAAGAAAACATATTTTTGTAAATTTGAGTAATGGGTCCACATTTTTCTCAAAATAGCTTAAATATTGTGCTTATTGCCCTACAAAATGTATTTTCAAATTTCAACTTAGTTAGTTTGGAAAATCGGGGTTTGAGAAGTCCCGAAAGTTGGGCAAATTGAAACTCTAATTTTTACTTCAACTTGATTGATTAACAAGACGATTTTTAAAAATTCTGCTGAAGTTGCAAACCGCTACCGTCGCTATTTTGCTCGTGAGCAATAAATCCTAGTTCTGGAAATAGAGCAAATAGAGGCCCCAAAATTTGAGTAAATAGAAACCAAGTATTGAGCTTCGTATCATGGAAGTTTCAACTTGACTGAGATACTTTTAGAGATTTTTTTACAAATAATAATGCGTAGTTCCGAAAATAGAACAACTAGAGACTTTAGTTTTCCACCTTAATAGAGGCGAAGGCTCGAGTTTTTGTCTGACATGTTTCAATTTGATTCGTTGGCCGGTGAAAATTTTTATTGCATTTTTGAAGCCAGGGCTTGTAAATAACAAAGCATAAATCTGAGAAAACTGCGTTTACAGACCTGAAATCTTGATTCCATACGAATAGCATCTTAGTTTGCTACTGATCAAAGGGACGATTTGACATGCTTATGAATAAGAACTAATTTTTTCGAAAATAGAGCAATTACACTTTTGAAATGTTGATCAAATATAGAGGCAAAACATTGCGTCTCTTCTCTTGCAAAGTTACAACTTGAGCGGCTGGGAGAACGATTTCTTGAAAGTTGCAATTGAATTCACAACTAATCAGTCAGAACTAAATGGATGTTTTTTCTTGATCAGTTGCAACTTGATCCGTTTGGAGGACAATTTATTTGAAAATTCCTATGGCGCTTCCAACTGCACAAGGGACAATTCTACATGCGTGCAAAAAACATTTTTCCGGATGAAGAGCACAATTTTTAAGCAAATATAGACACCAGACTGCGTTTCACCTCTGGTTTGTTTGAACAGAGCAAATTTTCTCACTCAATTTTTTTGCTCACCTATAGAGCAATGTTTTATCCATTTAGTGGCGCAACACGCGTGACTCGATCGTTTTCGCTTTTGAAAAATTAATTCTGAAACTTCGGTCGAAACATCTCAGATTTCTTAAAGGAGCTGCGGGAATGACAAAACTGTGCCTTATAGAGCAAACTCGGCTCTATCCAGTGGCGAAACGTGGGCGGCTCTATCGCGTTAGATTTTTGAAATTAAAGCTACAGCAACCATAAAATTGACTCATAGAGAGAAATTGTCTCATCTATTGATCAAATGAGGACGATTTTTTAAACCACCATTGCCGTGGACTCTATTTAAGTATGGGATAATTCAAGGTAGACTAAAATGTAGAGCAAATTTACGCACAAAACTGCGTTTTGATTCTGTCACGTTTGAATTTGATCTGCGATCAGCACAATTTAAAAAAAAATATATTTATAATTTTTTTCCTTGAATCTAATGTTTGCCAATTATGAGTTTGTATGAATTTTAAATCTGATGACGGCGCTGTTGTCTCGCCGAATCGTTATCAAATAAACGATATAAAAAATTTCATTTCACACTTTGGCTGAAATCCAGGAAGTAAAAGAATATAATAACAATTGCATGCAGTCAGGAAAATAGATCAATAACAAATTATAAGTAATAATAAAGCTGAAAATAATAGTTCAGTTTTACCTTGATGATTATTTCCTAGACGAAAGGAAATGACGAGCTGCAAATGCTCTAAAACGTCTCAAAAATCGACCAAATATTACGTTTTTGAAGCTTGAAATCAGCTAGCGTTTCTCGTTGGCCAGAAACTCATATTTCGTTTCGTGAACCCAATCTATGATTATTTCTTAAGTTAAAGCAAATGAAGAGCTGAATATGCTCTAAAACGTCGCAACTCTCAATCTCATAAATAAACTTGCAAAGGCGAAATTAAAAAGCGCTGGTTTTCGATTCTCAATAATCCAGCTCATAATATCCCTAACGGTTTCTTAATTAAATAACCGATAAAAACGACCGATTTTCTGCTATCAAAAGAGTTATGCTTCCCAAAACACGCGTGATTTGCATCCTGAGGCGTTTCCCTTGAAAGTTTGCACTGTTGACCTGATCTTACACCGAACTCCAGTGGAATTATTTAGCTAATGGATGCCGGCTGATGTAGATAAATTTTCCGTTTTTATTTAAAAAGTTTTTAGTTCACTGCCCGATAGTTCTGCATGAGCGCTGGCTGCACTGAATATTGTCGACTAACCATAATTCCAGATGCTGCGGACGTCGGGCCTCTGGACTAACACCTGTTTTACATTGTTTTCAGCCTTAATAATTTTAAACGTATCATCTTTAGTTATCAACCAGTCGGGCAGCACCCACTCGGCCGGCCCCATCCAAGGGTCTGGATTTTTCCGACGATCCGTTCAAAGACTACCGGTATGAGGATCCGTTCAATATCACGTTCGATGAGGACGCAGCAGACGATACTAGTGGTAAAGATAAAACAGTTAAAACGAAAGCCAGCCCTTTGGATGCGTTTGGGGGCCCTTTCGAAGACAAATTTGACCCGTTCGGTCTCGAAGGGCGGCAGTCAGTTCCGCTGAAGCCGCCCCCGAACGTGCCCATTCCAAGCGGAAGGGCGTCCGCCCCCATTGGGCAACTGCCCAGTGAGGACCAACAGCTAAAGTGGGCGGCCAGGGAGAGCATGCGGGCTGAGCTAGAGCGGCGCAGTCGAGAGGAGCAGGAACAGCAGGAACTGGAGATGGCGTTGCAATTGAGCAAGTTTGAGTTGAACAAGCGCTGACCAATAGAATCGAGCAGTTTATTGTGATTTTTACCATTAGAGGAACTAATTGCTAGGGTTCGTGTATAGAAACGCAGTGGCAGACTTCCACATATCGTTTTTGCCAAATAGTAGCTTTAGTTTGCTGGTTTTGTGCGGTTTGTGGCCCGACGCAAAGGAATTTTGGCCCGGTTGCCGTTTAGAACTGCATCTACTCTAAGATGCAGGGTGGTCCAAGCTAAAGGCTTGTTTATTTACCAGACTTTTCACACGTTTCACTCTTAAATATTGTCGACTCATTTTTTCAACAATCTCTTACTAATCAAGCCTTTTTCGAAACGATTATCGGACCTTTAATTCCTTGCATATTTCAAGCAAGACTTCTTTTTTATACTTTCACTTCTTTATTTACAATAAATCATCCACTCAAATTTCCTCGGTTCTAGAATGCTCATTTGTAGATATTCGCCGGTTGTTTGGCGCACAAAACATACGTTACACGGACAAAAACGACTCATTTTGGAACTGTATGAATTCTGACTGCTTAGAGAGATTTGAGTCCTGTATGAAGCGTTATTTAGTGCGTGTTTTTGCCAAAAAAATGTGGCTCAAATACAGTTTCTACAGGGTGGCAAATGAACCAATGCACTATTGCTGAAAGTTTCTCACATTTGTTTTGTATTTCAACACCACAGGTATTAAGGTAAACCGAAAGTTTGAAAAAAGTTTTTGAATTTTGCGCTCATCTCGTGTATGTACATGATGGTCTCAAAAAACTCATCGGAATGGTAGTCAACAGTCTGTTAGAGTCGCAGGTTTCGAGGGCAATTCTGCTTTGGGTCATTTTTTATGCAACCCCATTTTGTCTTAAATTGTCTTGAAGTTTTAGCTTCAACATGACCAAGAGCGGAAAAGCTATCGCTGCAAGACCAAACAGTTGATTTTTTGAGACCACCCTGTGAGAGAGAGAGAGACCACCCTGTGAGAAGAGATGGCCGAAAAATTCCAAAACCGCCTTGAGCTATTTGGATCGTCTTTAAGCTTGTGATGTTGACATCCAAAAAAGTTGATTTTGTCCAGCCAGCAGCATGTCGAACTTTGCAAAGTTTTCGTTTTTCCCTTTGCCACCTCGTAGAAATGTATCTGAGGTGCTTAATTTTTACGAGAACATGAATAAGATTTCCAAAACGCTTCAAATAGAAGCCAAATCGCTAGAAGCAATCAGAATCCAGGTCCAAAGTCAGGGCAAATTAGCTGTGTAACGTTCAGTTTAGTTGTGAAGCTGTCGCTGTTTCCTGTCGATTATCGTACGAATCTAAGCCCCTTCGTGTGTCTCAAAGCCTTAATATATCGTAGATTCGTGCATTTACTAGATAATGACTTAGTTGACTTAGAGTTATTCAGTCTAGCTGCCAGCTTGGAGCTGCTGATTTGTTTCCTCTAGTTCTTCAGTGACTAAAACGAATTAATTTGTCGCTTTGTCCGTGTCCAAGCTGGACTAAGGGTGGGCTTTTGCTGAAAATGCACCCCAAATTCACCTACTAGTTTGAGAGCGAGTGGACGTTCCTCCACTTTGACCAAGATGGTTTCAACTCTAGTCAAGGGTAATAGGCATGTAGTGAATAAATAGAATATTAATCTTTTAAATTAATCTAGAAAGTATAACGAAAAGACAATTGCTTTCGTATGTTTTTGAGAACTGCAATACTCCAAAGCCATCATTTCAGCTTGTTCTTTGTTAAGTTATTCTAGTTAGACGACTTGTTATGTGTATATATTGTTATCTTAGCCCATAAGTTATTTACAACAGTATTCTCATTTCCACTTTTAACTTGTAATGTGTAGATACTTTTTATTTCAATATACTTTGATTTAATTTTTTAAATTTGGTTCCATGTTTGTCAAGCCCTTGCCCGGTCTTCACATACTCCGAAACCCTGTACATAGTTGTTAAGGCATTACCGTAAGTTTATATTTACACCTGATTATGTCAGAACCTGACAATATCCTTTATTACATACATACATAACGCATAAGTATATATTCGTAGCTTTACTAATACACACTGTACAAAAATGGTGTTTCTTGTTGACATTGTTAATTTCTTCTGTGCCTCTTGATGAATTCATTGTCTTGTGAATAAATTTGGTGTAAATCTTTCGTTCAGTGATTATTCACCTGACACTTAAAGCTCTATCAAGCCGTGGAATAAATGTCGTGACATCTAATTCCGTGACAGCTTTCGACATTCGATGTCATGGCACTAGGTGTTCACACTCATCCGTATAATCGGCAATTGATTTATTCCCTAGGCATGAGTATGATTCGTAATATTCCAGAAATGTAATTAAATCAAATGGGAACGTGATTTAAAACCAAACCAAATGAAAATATCGCGCTAAAGATTGATAACCGTCCAGAAATGTCAAAATGTCATCGAGACATCGGCAGTATATCAAACAATTTTGATATGTGACACTAACGTCACGACACTATAACAATGACATTCGGGTGTTCAGACAATGACATTGTTGGGAATTCACGTCACGACATTAATGTCACCGTGCGAACGAGCTTTTAGGAACAGTTTTAGTAATTATTAAAGCTCGTTCACACGGTGACATTATTGCCGTGACGTAAATTCCACACGTGAACACACAACAATGTCATTGTCTGAACACCCGAATGTCTCAATGTCATAGTGTTAGTCGTGACGTTGGTGTCACATCAAAATTTGAAGTTGAGCTTTTTTTCTTGAAGGTTAACAATCTTTGGCGCGATATTTTAATTTGGTTTGGTTTTAAATCATGTTGCCTTTTGATTTGATTCAATTTCTGGAATATTGCCAAGCATACCCATGTCTGGGATAAATCAATTGCCGATTATAAGGATAGACAAAACCGTGACCAAGCAGAATAAGCGCTTCTAAATATTTTGTTACTTTGAAAAGGTGGTTTTTAATGCTCCTAGTTTGTTTCTACGCATAATCCACTGTCCCATCCACACTCATTTTCTCAATTTTTGCCTCAATTTCAAAATAATTATTTCTTCTAACACATCCGCTACTGCCGACAGGAGTTCTGCCATTTTGACAAGAGTCTGTCGCCACACTTGTTGGTGAGTGTGAACACCTAGTGTCATGACATCGAGTGTCGAAAGCTGTCACGACATCGATGTCATCGTCTAAACGAGCCTTTAATTATGGGCGGATCGCAACTGGCTTGGTTCTCCAGATTATCCATGTTTTACCAATGCGTTCACAAGATCCCAAGGTTCTGAAAGCGTCGCCTTGAACACAAGTTGAAATTTTTCTAAGGACTTTCAGATTTTTTTTTAAGTAAAAGCGGTTAAAGTGTATTAATCTGACGGTAATAACGCATACTTAAAACAAATATGAAAGGGAATTTAAGAAATACCCAAAATATTTCTGAAGCATTAACGGTATAAAATTGTAAGAATTACTATTATTAGTAAATGGGAAATTTTAAAAGTGTCTTGGTACACCAGAATCACCAGCATGTTTGCCAAATAAACAAATACAATAAAAATACAGAATGTATCATCAGATGTGAATAGCTTAAAGTTGTAAGAAAACACCTGAATTAGCAAATTAACTCTGGCTTACTCAAAGCGGACCTACTCAGAAAAGATAATGTTTTGAAAATAAATAAAGACTATGTTGAAATATGAAAAAAATATGTAAAGCTTGAAACAAGTCCACGAAGAAAAGAGCGCGCTTTCATTTCCTATATAAGACGCTCAAAGACGGCGGTAAAAAATGAATAAAACCCGCAATAAGAATTCCGCAAAAACTGCAATATAGAATCCTCAAAGCTGTAAATTCTGGCAGTAAAAATACTCTAAAAGAAAACTACAACCTTGGTTGTCACCTACTTCTACAAAATAAAATGCTATCCGGTTCGCTAAAGTTCCCTAAATCTCCGATTTTCCTTCAAAAAATTTGAACACTTGAACGGTCCCTATGGGGAATAGAAAATCCGTTTAAATTAGGATGTGAATCATAGGAAAACATCAATATTAACGACAACTTTCTTACGCGACAATAAAAAGTGTAGTTCACAGCAGAAAATACCCGCTTTATATTTACATTTTAAAGCTTCAAATAAAACGCTTCCACAGTAGAAAACGTGGCTAGTTAAAGTTGAAAAAAATATTTAATTGTAATAATGTTATATGTAATAATAATTAAAATTTATTAATTTGAAAATTCGAACAATTATTGAAAATACAAAAACCGTTTAAATTAGAGTGTAAGTCACAGAAAAACTGTAGTTTACAGCAGAATACACCCGCTTTATACATACTTTTTAAATGTTCAAATAAGAAGCTTCCATAGGCTAGCTAATGGTGAAAAGCTGAGTGTCAATTATTTTCAACTTGAAAAATGATGCTGAATTATTGATAACTCAAAAGCCGTTTAAATTGCGGTGTAAATCACAGGGGGAAGCCAGTAAAAAGTAAACAAAAATTACCCAATGCGACAAAAATATTGTAAGAGTTCATATAAGAACAGAAAACCTCATTCCTTAACGTATAAAATTTGACTTCAAATTTGAAAATTAAAAAAACCCTAGTCAGAATCCATACATAATGTTCCTCATAAAATTAATGAACAAAACAGGAGGAAAAGTTCTACATCTACATGGCAACCAGGGGCAAAGTAATGCCTTACTTACAAAGTAAACTTACCCTAAGCTGCGTGGTGCCGCCTGAAAAAAGAAAAGAAAACGTGTTTAGTATAGCAGAAAATCTGTCCGAAATCATTAAATATAAAATGTAATAAATGCATGAAACGTCAGTTGCTTTTCCGCAAAGTAAGTTCAGTTCCAATCTAAAAGTTTTATAGATTAGAAATCATTCTTTCCTAGTTTTCTGCAAGTTGGCGCCCCATCCTCCATTAATAGTCACACTAAACTTAAACACTCAATGAAAGTCCACTCCGAATTGAAAACCTTATTCGTGCAGTATGCAGACCGAATAGACTACCGCACTTGTATTTATACTATTAATACTGTACTTTATGAAAAACCCGCAACGTTTTTGAAAGTTGAAAGAAAAACTCTAATTAAGAAAAAAAAACATTTAAAAAAGTGACCAGGTGTACCTGAAAAAATTGCATGTTAGCGAAATATGTAATGGATTTAATACGATTTGAATAGTTCAAGGTGAAAGCAAACACCTAAATTAAACATGAAAGGTAATTTAGGAATTTGTTTTGAGTTATTCATAACGTACCTAAGGAAAACTCTAGAGGAGCCAGATCTGGAGACTCAGCTGGAATAGTTTGGGTTAGTTTCGGAAACTTGAAATGAAAAGCGGAAGGTTTTAGCTAAAAACTGGGAAAGTTTCATACGAATCCGAGTATTGGCTGATTTTAGGGAGCTTTTTAACTTGCACGTAAAATTAAAGAATCCCAGTAGCTAGTTGTGAAGCTTAGAAAAATTGAAACCTCCAAATAACTGAAAGCAGCAACTTAAGATATTGGAATAGAAAAGAGGAAGGTTTGGGCCACAATTTTAAGAACTGTTAACAAAAAAGGAATGTGGACAAATTTATTCGGATCCCTTGAAATTGAGCAAAAATTAAAAAAAATTTCAAGCTTGCGGTGGCGCGAGATCGTTAATCGGACTGAATTAAAATTTGAAACTCTCCAAACTGTAGGATGAATCACTTGAAATTTTTACCCAATAAATAAGAAGGTTTTAGCTAAAAATTGGGAAAGTTTTATAAGAATCCGAGCGTTGGCTGATTTTAGGAAGCTTTTCATTTTGCACCTAAATTTTAAAAATTCCAGCAACTTGCGGTTGAGCTTGAAAAAATCGAAACGTCCAAATAACTGAAAGCAGTAACTTCATATATTGGAATAGGAAAGAGGAAGGTTTGAGCCACATTTTTAGGAACTGTTAAGAAAATGAAAGCGTAGCCTACTTTTCCAGAAGGCCTTGAACGTGAGCAAAAAATTCAAGAATTTTTCTTTTGCGGTGGAGCGAAATCGTTATTCGGACTGGTCTAAAAATTGTAACTCTCAAACTGTAGGATGAATCACTTGAAATTTTCGCACAATAAACAGCAACGTTTTGGCTAAAAATGGGGAAAGTTTCATAAGAATCCGAGCGTTGGCTGATTTTAGGAAGCTCTTCATTTTGCACGTAAATTTTAAAAATTCCAG